GGAGAAGGAAGGATGAGTTTAACGTGCTGAAGCGAGTTTAAGAGCTGGACTAGAAGAGACAAGTTAACCTAGTTCACCCAACTTGCTTGACTTGGATTTCCCAACTCAGCTCTGACTGACACAGAAATTGGCATCAGGAGCGGAATCCCCAAAAATAGACTTCTAAGGACTTTCGGATTGATTTGATTTGATCCATGATGAAGAGCATCACCAATAATCAGATTAACGCTGGTTGCTAACTATAATGAAGTACTCTGAAAACTTCAGCCCCCAACACCCTCCTACACCCTCCCTCCTACTCCCTACTTCCCAGATAAAGATTCCACACAAAAGATAAATACCCCACACAAAGGCCGCCTGGGGAGACAGATTTGCGAGTTTGCCTCCGGTCTCCTCGCTTGGCTGCCCTGCAATGAAGTCCTTTTTTCTGCAGAACACCTTGCCCCGGCTCTTCCGTAGTTCATCGGGCTAACAAACCCGCTTGTGGTGGGTAGCACTGTGGCAGCCCTAATAAAACTTTTATGTCTTATCGCCACAGAGCTCACCTTGCTAACATCAGACATAACGGCATCAGTTGCAGAATTACAATTTACGTTGCATTCCACAGACTCACCACGTTTCATGTACCAAAGCGAAAGGAGGAGAGAGAGTGAGACCCTGGGACTTGGGATGGGGATATCTGGGAGGGCGCAGATGAAGCTGGGAATCTTGACCCTCCAGGCTACTCTGAGCCTCCCTTGCTAGTGGAATAGAAACAGCCTGCTCTGCTGTGTCTGAAGGGATCAGCTTTCCCTGGCTTGAAGAGGCTGTAACAACCTTGCCATGACTCTAAGGGCGGTTTCCTTGTGAGAGAATTCCTCTTCTCCTCAGGACCCAACTGGATCATCCTTTACTGGCACCCATAACAGGGTCAGATCGCAGCATGCTCTAGGGAACAAGTACAAAGTCGGATCCACAAAGTGATGACTCATACGCAAAAAGAATCGCGAAACTGTGCTAATTTGTATTGATAGAAACGTGGGAAACCTGTGTGAGAATGGATTCTAAGAGTGTTAGACCAAGGAAAACAGAATATAATACCAGATTGAGACCTTTTTTTCTTTAATAGGAGTCACTTACCAGAGATTTAGGATTTAATGGTTAGCTTATTCCACTGGAGGGGCTGTAAGAGTTACTTGGTTGGTTGACTGAAACTCGGGCTCCATGGTGGCCTACATTTAATAAGGCTGGGAGGCCACAACCTCCTGGCATAACGTAGAGGCAGGGATCCAAAGGTTGACGGAAACAGTAAAGTGGGAGTGGATCTGTCATGTGCAACTTGCACACACGAGCCCTCCACCACTATCCCCCAGGAGGGCCCAGCAGATACTCCCTTCACTCAAGCTCCAGCTTCATAACTGGAGTGTCACTATATGGACAAGAGGTTATTCGTCTGGCCCTTTCACACCCAGCTACTCATAAAACTCACCATGCTGCTACAAGATAAGAGCTTCTCCATTGTTCTCTCTCTAGCCCTTGTTTGTTTCCTTCGTGGTACTTATTACAAACTGCAATTATTTATTTGTCTGTGTAGGATCTTGCATGCCCGTCAATAACCTACATGCCCTATAGTAACCATGTGTCCTCCTCGCGTCCTTCAGGCATGAAGCTGACCATCTGGTATTTCAACCATCCAGGGCTTGGCCAACCCAGATCTGCCTATCTCAAAGAACATCATGTCTTGAAGGAACATGGAACCCTTCCATGTGAGCTACTGGTCCTTGGAATGCTGGTCATGCAAGGACAGTCCCTCTTGGCAAGCACATGGCCTCTGTTCCCCTGCCTACATGAGCACCCCTCTTTCTGTTCGCAGTAGCAGTGCGCAACCCTGTCCAGCCAGCTGCCCTTGGACTCCCTGTTTGTAAAGTTCCCAACAGATGCTTATGTCCCCTATGCCAGCTCCACATCATTTCTTTGGTCTCTCTCCTTCCCACTCAATGCTGCTCGCACAGCTAGGTGTGCAGCCAAACAGCCTGGCTATTTGTTTTGTTTTGTTTGTTTTTGTTTTTTGACCTATTTGTTTTCTCTGTCTCCTCCACTAAAGTACAAGTTCCACGAGAGCAAAGACTGTATCTATCTTGGATTACCACTGCATCTTGTATCTGGTACACAGGCATTCATTGAAGACGTGTTGAGGGCCTAAAACTGTCTTTGTCAACGTTAAATTCTAGTCCTTCCTTCTCCTGGAATAGATATGTTCATGACAACATTATCCTCCCAAAAAGATGATTTACATCTGAGTTGCAAACTTATACAAACTTATAAATCTCCGTGTTATTTCTTCAGCTTAGAATGGACAACCTGGTCTGCTGATATCACCTCTTCCATTAAATTTATATTATGCCCAGAAAAGCATTTTTCAAAATTTTCAACAAGGAAAAAAACCCTTTCCCCATAATAAAGGTCAATTCTGTGCCTTCACCGTCTGTTTCTTCACGAAAACGTTGGAACAGGATCCTGTCTTTCTGCCCTGTCACGTGTCACCTCATATCACAAATTAACCAAATTCTCAAATATCACTAAAGTGTATCTTCTGACTCGTGGAGCAATTTTGTACAGGCTGGAGCACTTGCGGAAAGAGCATCATGAGGCAGCTTTCTTGTTTCTGTATCGAATAGATGGTGGCGTCACTCATAACAGAGCGTTTCACAATTCAACGTTCCATTTCCTCACAAGCGTCTATTTTCCGCCTAAGAACCTTTACTTCTAGCAACCGGTAGGTGCTTTTCATTAACAGTCAATTTTACACAGACACAAACCCAACATTTTTATTACAATAAGAGTTATGATACACAAGACTACAAGGAACTAAGAAAGAAACAGTACTAAGATCCAGGCAGGACATTCAGTTCACCTACTATCAGGCTATTAAGTAACTATCTAAGTAACCACCTCAGGCTCATCAGTGAGCTTAATTCAAATTCACACTTTAGCAAAACTGCAAAATACTGGAAGTGTCTTGGACCTTCAGGGTTGCATTTACATAGTTGAAACCTTGAAAGTTAAAATTCTTAAATGCCAAAGATTTATTGTATATCTATAGACCACACGCTCACCTTTGTAAAGACCTGCACTCTTAGCAGGGTTAAAAAACAAAAAGACAACAAACTTGATATTACGAATCTATAAAAATCTGTTTGTCGCCTAAAGATGAGGCCCATCTATGTGTAATCTGTCTGACAGGACCAGCTATGGTCTGGAAAGAAATAACAACAAAAATATATACCTCACAAGGATGTTTGACAGATCAAAAGGGACAATACATGTGAGGGAATAAATAAATAATAAAGCACTATAAAATATTAGTTGTAGGTGGTAACGTTAATAATAAAATACAGTACATTGTATTAAATTTAGATAATGTTATACGTCAATTATATCTCAACAAAGCTGGAGAAAAAATAAAGTATGGCAGAAATCCTCTCTCATCTGGAACAATTAGGGCAGTTTGTTAGTTGGCTACTTAGAGAAGTCCGTTAAAGCAAGGAATCCTAGAAAATGATAAATACACATTGCAACCATTTTTATTTTAATTTAAAGTTTAATTTTAAAATTTAATTTTAAGTGTGATTCATTCACCAATCCTTTGTGTAGGGTCAAGGCCTTATCTTTGAGTTTAGATCTTTGGACTGGAATTCCAGTCTTTCTTGGATAAACCACACCCATAACGCGTCATCTATAATTGCAGTTTCTGTTCTTTTAAAATGCAGCAAAAACTTTAAGACATATGCAACAACAGGAGAGCAAATTTCTTCCTACTTTTGATAACTTTTTGCAATATTTTACATTTGTCTTGTTCACCCCTAATTCGACAACCAATTTCTTTTTTTGAGGTCACACTGGTTTATAACGTTGTATAAATTTCAGGTATATGTATTATGTATCAGTTTCTGTATAGACTGCATCGTGCTCATCACCAATAGTCTAGTTTCCATCCATCACCAGACACATGCGCCCCTTCACCCCTTCTGCCCTCTCCCCCTCCCCCTCTGGTAACCACCAATCTGTTCTCTGGATCTATCTGTTTGCTTGTTTATCTTACACATATGAGTGAAATTGTACGGTAATTGTCTTTCTCTGTCTGACTTATTTCACTTGGCATACTACCCTTGAGGTCCATCCAGGTTGTCGCAAATGGCACAATTCTTAACAACCAATTTCTGAAAGAACTGGCTTTTCTCACTTTTTTTCAGAACTTTCAACTTAGTTTTTGTAGAAATAACTCCCCTTTTTACCCTAATATTGCAGCCGTTTACAGAATATTTAATAACAAATGCACCCAGCACGAGTAATTTTGGGAACAAATACAACTGACTCTTCATAAGTAAACACTTTGCGTTGTGGGAGGGAAAGAACGTGGGCATCATCCTGAGCAGCCCACCGGTCACAAAAGTCAGCATCCTGGGTACACCAGTCAGGACGTGCCACCAAGGAGGTGGACAGCACTGGTGTATCCATCGGTTGGTTAATTAGACATCAGTTAAAAGAGTCTTTGCCATATTAGAATTGAGGTCTCAAGCGTAGCTGACTACATTCAAAACAGTTTCCTGGTCTCATATATATTTACAACCTTTTATATTTTTCCCCAGTCATATATGATAGACATTTAGAGACAATGAAGTCAAAGAGTAAAAAAAATGCAAGAATATTGAAATGAGGCAAGAGAAAAGGAATTCAGATGGTTAAGTAAAACATGATAAAATAATCAGAGAATTTGACTCCTGACAACAGAATCTAAATGAGTCAATAAGAGATATTTTAAGGAAATAACGATAACCCTCTATTAGTTTGAAAAAACTGGTGATCCATCTTTAAGACATCCCGTTAACAGCATGAGAAAGAAGCTTTCTGAACTATAAATAAATACACCCATGCTAGATATCTGCTTGAAAATATTAAACTTAGGTTAGCTGTATTCTTCTGTAATCGCGAGAGAAGAGAAGGCTGATGTGAAAACTTACTTATTTCACTGGAAACCTGGTCCAGCTTATCCTGAGATCTGCTGATAAGGACGATCTTCATTCCACGCTTTGCTAACTGAAACAATAAAAGAGACAGCAAACAGTTGAATCACACCCGTGCGTTTCATTTTAAAACAGTCCATTCTAAAACAGAAATTGATACGCGGTCATTGTAAGAAAACCTCACCATATGATAACGAATGGACAATCCAAAATGAAGACTTTACGAAAGGCTTCCCCACAGGTTATCTTTCTAAATCAAGCTAGCATATAAATGTCAAGGGGTTTTAGAAGAAGTGATGAGTTTTACTTTTCATTTTGTACCCATCAACACTGCTGGAGTTTTTAAAATCGTAAGTATCTATTACTCCTATAATTTAAAAGTTAGCTTTAAAAAAGTTTTTGTGTCAGGCTGGATACATAAAGACTGGAGGACTGGCAAAGAAAACGACAGTTAAAATGTTAAGAATTCCTAAAAATAGAATCATTTTTAAAATTTTTATTTAAGCATTATACTTTACGGAAAGAAAGACAAACTAAAACAGTCAAACTGGATAAATTAGTACAGAATTTCCCGGGGGGCCGTGCCGTGGCCAAGTGGTTAAGTTCACGCGCTCCACTTCAGAGACCCAGGGTTTTGCCGGTTCAGATCCTGGGCGCGGACATGGCACCGCTTATCAGGCCGTGCTGAGGCGGCGTCCCACATGCCACAACTAGAAGGACCCACAACCAGAATATACAACTATGCACTGGGGGCTTTGGGGAGAAGAAGAAGAAACAAGACTGGCAACAAATGTTAGCTCAGGTGCCAACCTTCAAAAAAAAACTTTTTTAAGTAAAGAATGTCCTGAGGAGCACTTTCTGTGTACTGACCCAGCACTGTGTAAGTGGCACAGAATGAATAAGATTTAAGCAAGGTGACAGAATAAGGAATGTTGTTTCTACCCCTGAGACACAAATATAGGGGAACAGGAAAAAACATTGATATACACAAAACTTTTTAATGAACTATTTCAGACAGTCTATAAATGAGCAATGAATTAGGTGCTATGAGGTGTAAGCGATTCAGTAAATTAATATTCCAGTCTTAAATTCTACAGTCAGTTTTTATTAAACAATGAGTAGTTTTGCAAATGAGAAGATATGGAAGAACATTTTTTATAAAAATAACAAAGTTTGGTAATAATTTGCTAAATTAATCTGCGGTAAAACCACTAAAAAACACGAGTCCATGCTCACAGTTTTTTAAAAAAAATTAATGGGGGAGGAAGCACAAGGAAAAGCCCTTATTTATAGAAAAATACCATCTAATAAATGTAGAAGGAAAACTATCATTAGAAAATCACCATTTTTAAACCACCATGGTATTAACTAATTTAGGCAAAAAACTGTCAACAGATGTTAAAACCCCTGGGTGAAAAATTGTGGGGAAACGGGAAAATTCATAATCTCAAAGTATCATCTCTTAGGTTCCTTGTGTTTTTTTCTTTCTTTCTTTCTTTCTTTTTTTGGTGAAGAAGATTGGCCCTGAGCTAACACCTGTGCCAATTTTCCTCTATTTTGTATGTGAGACACCACCACAGCACGGCTTGATGAGCAGTGTGTATGCCCATGCCCGGGATCTGAACCCTGGGCCACCGAAGTGGAGCACGTAAACTTAACCACTATGCCACCAGGCCAGCACCCCAATTCCTTATTAATTACAAAGGGGAAAAGGTACCTTCTACTGGAGAATTATGGTGGACAGCATCTTAAAAATGATTTATCTTAACATAAAATAATGGAACAAATGGACTTCTTGTGCCTCCTGATAAGATAAACTCAGAAAGATACAATATCAGTTGGGTAGCATTCCTGCTAAAAAAAATGCTTAACCTGAATCTAATTATGAGGAAACAATAAGACAAATCCAAAATTGAGAAGTCTTTTGCAAAACAATTGGCCTGGATTTTTCAAAAGTGCCACTGTTATAAAAGAAAAGAAAGGCTAGAGAATTCTTCCAGTCAAGAGACGTGACACCTAAATGCCATGCATAATCCTGAACTGTATCTTGGAACCAAAAAACAAGAGCTCTAATGGATGTTATTGGGACAAACGGGAAACTTGCACATGGGCTGCACATTATATACGTAATAGAATTGTACCAAGTTAACTTCCTCTGTGCGACCGCTGTATCGTGGTTACAAGGGTGAGTGTTCTTGTTCTCAGAAGATTCAGGAAGAAATACTCAGGGGTGAAGTGTTATGATGTCTGTAACTCACAAATGGTCCAGCCAAATTAGAATGATAATAATGTTAAACGTGACAAAATGTTAACAGCTGATGAATCCTGGTAAAGGGTATGTGAGTGTTCACTGTATTTTCCTTGCAACTTTTCTGTAATTTTGATATTCAAAATAAAAAACCGGAGGCCAGCCTCGGTGGCCTAGAGGTTAAGTTCCACATGCTCTGCTTCAGTAGCCTGGGGTTTGGTTCCTGGGAGCAGACCTAAACCACTCGTCTGTCAGTGGCCATGCTGTCGCAGCAGCTCACATACAAAAAGAAGAAGATTGGCACAGATGTTAGTTTAGGGTGAATCTTCCTCAGCAAAAAAGAGGAAGATTGTTAAATAGATGTTGGCTCAGGGCCCATCTTCCTCAGCAAAAAATAAATAAATAAAATAGGGGCCAGCCTGGTGGCACAGCAGTTAAGTTCACATGTTCTGCCCGGCCTGGGGTTCACCGGTTTGGATCCCCAGTGTGGACCTATGCACCACTTGTCAAGCCATGCTGTGGTAGGCATTCCACATATAAAGTAGAGGAACATGGGCACAGATGTTAGCTCAGGGCCAGTCTTCCTCAGCAAAAAAGAGGAGGATTGGCAGTGGATGTTAGCTCAGGGCAAATCTTCCTCAAAAAATAAAATTAAATTTAAAAATCTTTAAAATAAATAAATAAACAAATTTAAAAACTGGGAAAACAAAGGAGGACTTAAAAAAAAAAACCCTTTGGGAATGACAAATGAAAGAGTCGATGGATCTGCCAGGATCTTCATCACAGCTGGGTAATGTCATAGGCTATGGGTGCCTTCGCAGAACTGGAAGGCAGGAAAGCTTGCCTTCAGAGAACGGCCAAGGGTCCTGCTTTGTATACTCGTCTTCAAACTATTATGGTTTTCTATCCTTTAATTACATCACAGAGAATCTGAATCCTTTGCCTGTGTCTGTCAATACCTTTCTGCCAATCACAGTCCTTCTTAGGAAAAGGATGCTATGGACCAGCCTGGAAATGTAACCACTATATAATAAAATATTCACCTTTCAGAAAATAATTCAAAACAATGAAGTTTAAAAACTCAGGACTGTCCACACTTACACAATCTAAAATATAATTACATGAATTTTTCACAATTCCAACTTAACAGGATAGAAAGTTTTATACTCATTTTGCATAAAAATCTGTTTTAAAATTGTTTGTTTAAGCAAACATAGTATTTCTGACAACACAGAAATATGTACTTATATTATAGTATGCAACATTATATTTGTGTTTCTGACTTCAAAAATCAAAACTACTATGAGATCATTCCATGTTTGTTCTTATATTTTTATACCAAAAAGCAAGGTTTTGAAAACGACCTACCTCTTCTGCATATGATTTTCCAATTCCATCAGTACCACCTGTGACAACTGAGAAAAGAAAAAAAGTAAGTTTAGTTTAAGAACTACAGTGAAGAACTGATCATGTTAGGACCCAGCAATTGGACACAAAGGGACCTGTGCAACACTTTCACGTAAAAGATGGAGCCAAACCAGTCATTCAAACTGTATACCCACCACAATGGCTATATACCCACCACAATTGCTAAAGTTAAAGAGTACAATACCAAGTGTTGACAAGAATGTGAAGCATTGGAACGCTCAGACATTGCTGGTGGCACTGTAATTCCAAAACAGAATCATTTTGGAAAAACCATTTGGCATTATGTCCAGAACTTCCCAAGACGTCTGAATGCATCATGTCTACCAAAAGAATGCCCACGGTAGCTTTATTTATGCATAGTAGGTAAACATGCTCAGATATTAAGTTATGGGAGAATGAGAAAGTAAATTGAGGTATATTCATACAATGGAATACTAAATAACAATAAAAAAGAACTACTGATATATGCAAAACATAAACAAATCTCCCAGACATGATGTTGAGTGAAAAAAGACATAAAAGTGGATAAGCTGTTATGATTCCAGTCACAAAGTCCAAAAAAGGGCAAAGCCAATCTATGATGATGGAACTTGGAATACTGGTCAGTGAGAGCATAGATGACAGAAAAGGGGCATTAAGGGAAACTTCAGATGCAGGAAGTATTCTATGTCTTGATTTGGGTATGTGTGTGTGTATGTGTGTGTAAAAATTCACTTAGCTGTACACTTAAGTATACACATTATATCTGCTATACCTTAATAAACTGATTTTTTAAAATTGTGGGCGGTAAAAAGAATTGAATAAGGTCTATTTCTTCCATGGGAAAACATATTTCCCCCATAAGCTCAAAAACCTTACACAGTAAAAACGCTTGAAAATTGTACTGGGTCAGGCTATATCACAGTGTCTTATCTGTGAAATACTGAAATTGTATTTGTTACAAATCCAGAACACAGCTGGCTGCTCCCAAAGGTTAGGGATGCTCCCCAAACTTCTCTGACTAGGAGTTTTTCCAAACCATTTACAGATTATGGAAAACAAGTTATGGTGTAAAGTAGGATCTTTCGGTATTTGTCTTAAAACCACTTCTTTCAGATTACACGAGATGTTCCCCACTTTTACTGCTCAGAAATATGGCAAACACGTCCACAGTCTTCCTAGCCATGTCTTCCATAATCTTACAGATTTTCATCATGTTCCTGCTCAGTTTTCATCTTTCTAGTTTTAAAAAATGTTTTAGAATAAAAAAAGTCAAAAAAAGTATGTTATTAAAAATAACCACAATACTATTATCACATTCCTAAAATGTAAATAATAATTCCTTGATATCTAATTAGTATATAATTTCCCCACATATTTTTTAAAAATTCTAAGAACTTGGTAGAATCAGGCTTCAGTAAGTTCCATCCTTAAAATTGGTTAATGTCTATTAAATCTCTTTTAATCTATAGGTTCGATGTATCCAACTACCCATCTATATCATTTAATCTCCATCTCTCTCTCCCCCCACCCTCCCTCTCCCTTCCCCACCTCCATTATTTGCTGAAGATATGTTTACACTTTCCCTTCCCGGCATTTGCAGATTGCATTCCCCTGATGTCGTTTAACATGTTCTTCGGTCCCTTAGAGGTTGGCTAGAGATGCTCGATAAAATTCAAGTTTGATTTTTCAGATACGAATACTTCATAAATGATATATATTGCATATTGACATCAGGAGGTACACGTCCAGTTACCTTTCTTTTTGTTTCATTAGCGGCTACTGACAATCACCACTAAGAGCCATTATTTCATTAGAGGTACAAAATGGTGATATTTGAATTCTATCATTCCATCTTCATTTATTAGCCAGAATATTTCCATAGAAAAATAACTCCTCATCTGTTATTTGGTTACAACGGTAAGAGTTTGCATAGGAACACAGGATAAATGTTTGATTTTTTTTCTCCTTTATTTACCAGTTTTCAAAATAAATTGGTTCCCAGGCACCTTCCAAAGGTAACCCAGGAGTTTTTATCATTGTGGTTTTGTTTCTAACAAACATTATTAACTGATGGATTTAAATGTTTGTGGGAGAACCCATCTGTATGAAATTAAGCATCACCAACCTCATGATCAAGGGCACATTTCTGTAACTTCTCATCTCCTGAGTATCTTGGAGGAGAGGAGAACCGGAATTTTATACTGCATTCCTGTTACTGGCTCACTAACGTTTCACACATGAAAGATAAGCATTTTCTAATTGTTTCCAGTTCTGTCCTTTTCCTCCTCTGTGATAACGTTTAATGCTCTCTCCAAGATCCCCAGAACCTCACCTCCTCTCCTCTTCCTTCAAAGCAGCGTTTAAGCTCCAACTCCATTGTTCCAGATCGCTTCAAACAAAAGAAACCCTTCTCTCCTCCAGACTCCCTCAGCTCTTTACACGCACCTCTCTTATGCCACTCAGCATTCTCTACTCTGACCTGTATTTCCTTACATACAGAAGTCTTAATTCTTCTGCCAGATTCTGGGCTCCCTGCTATGTGACATGCACGAGGCAGGTGCTCAGAACACATTTGCTGAATGCATCAATGATGCTCAGCACTTAGGTGTCTTACAACCTGGAAAACACACAAGACTTAGACTGTTTCTCTGAGAACCTGGTTTCTCAAAGTTCTTGACTTTACAAGTATAATACCATAACTCTCCTAACCTAACTGCCACTCATCTATTTACAGAGCCTTTGGTACCTAGGTTATTCTGTTTATTTTCTACAACTGCAGAGCAAGCAAATCGTATACATGACTACATACAATGAATCTGTGGCAATATGATTTCCCAGATTAGGGGCTTAAAAATCCCTTAATAAGAAAATCTTCAAGAATCCAAATACAATAAAGTCATTCTGTATAACGTATCTAGAATTTTTGGCTGCAATGTACATATTTCAAAATATAGATGATTCTGTGTGTGCATCTGCATGTTTTTAAAATTGCCAACCCCAGGTTGAGCTAAACAAGCACATCATACTTTCAAAAGCCCGTAACACGCCAGGATTAGAGATTATAAAATTTGCCTAATGGATATCAAGTCTTCCTTTTCCAGATTCCCCAGTTTTTGGAGTTTGCGGTGCATATTGTTAGAGCACCGACTACATCTCCCTTCCAGCAGCGGGGTACTCAGTCAATCCTCTGTGGGGGATCAGAACCGGCCACCCCAAAACGTGTCTCTTTTCCTTGCCTTGATTGTTTTTAAGATCAAAATACTCTGAAGGAAACGCTGAGCTTCCCCCTAACTGCCTAAAAGCAATTTAAGATAAAGGCCTGTCCCCAGGACAGACCACCACCATGGATAACTCTGGGTATCCAGCAGACGGCGAACATCCTCGCTAAGCCCACTCTTATCGAAGTTCTATTTTACTTTTCCATTTCCACGTGAATTCCCTTCCTCCCCTTTGAAATCCCAAACCACCACCCCCAACATCCTCCTTTGTCTTTAGCTGAAGATGATATTTAAGAAGAAAGCCTCCACCGTTTTGGAGAGTTGCTCAGTTTTCCTGAGTCTCTCCCATATATACATGTTACAAACCTCGGTTCGATTTTCTCCTGTTATTCTGTCTCACGTGAATTTAATTCGTAGCCCAGCCAGAAGGACCCAGAGGATAGAGGGAGATGTCGTCCTCCCGGACACCTCTCTTGCCAGGATTGTCATCTGCCGTCAGCTCACACGTGAGCATCTCCCTGCCGTCAGCCTTATCCATGGTGACAGCCCCCTCCCCTGGGCAGTGCATGTCTAATGAGTGACCCGCACTTGAGGACAAAGGTCCAGCTCCCTTCCCTCACTCTGGCTTCTCTGAGGGGCCATCCCAGGTTCAGAATTTCCCGTGGGCTCAGCTGTGACCTCTGCTAGATCCGCAGCACAGTTCCACCTCTCCCTCTGCCCTACTTTGATGCTTTTGCTCTTTTATTCCTGACAGCACACACCGGTACGCCTGACACACACGCGTCTCAATGTCCAGTTTGCTTCCTGATGAACTACTGAGAGCCTCAAGTCAAGCTCCCTTCTCTTTTTAAGTGATTTTATTTATATCTAAGTAATACGTCCTCTTAGTTTGAAAAAGAAAATAGCTATAAAAGGTTTGAAGTGAAAAACAGGACTTTACCCCAACCTTCTGCACCTTCCTACTCCATCCCCAGAAGCAACCATTTTCATTGCTTTTAGTCATTTTTCCTTATGTTTACATCCATGTTATCAATCCTGTGCTTACACTGTTCTCTCCTGATCATCAATTTTTATATTGCTTGTTGACTTATTACAGTTGATGGGAACTCCCACTCCCCTTTTATTTTCTCCATCCTTCCAAGGAAGTCACATCACAAGAGTCTGTCAATAGTCAGTGTTTATTGTAATGCTGCAACTCAATTCTGACATCAACCATCCAGAATTAGAGCAGATCCCACAGGTTAAGGCATGGTCCCCAGCAAAACTGCCCACGTTTCAGGCACCAGCCACAAGTCAGACGTGCCCAGGCTACCCTCTCTTGTAACTGACTGCCTACAAAATTCAGGGTCCCCACAACTCCTCAGGTTCAATAATTCCCTAGAATGCCTCACAGAATTCAGGATAACTTACAATTTACGATAACAGTTTTATAATAAAAGATACAAATCAGGACCAACCAAATGAATAGCCACATAGGGAGAGCCCTGCATGCAGAGCTTTCATGCCTCTCTGAATGAGGGCACGTCACCTCCCAGCACATCAATGGCTTCACCGACCAAGAAGCTACACCAAGCTTCAGTGTCCAGAGTTTTTATTGGGTTTCATCACAAAGGTAGGGTTGATAGAATCGTCAGAACTCAATCTCCAACCACCGTCCCCGCCCCCTCCCGCCCCCGGGAAGTTGGGAGGTTGAACTGATGTCACACGACTCAAAGCTCCAGTGTTATGGTTGATCTTTCTGGCAGGACCAGCCCCCAGCTCAAAGCCATCTAGGGTCCCACCATGAG